GTAGGATGGAGATTGGCCGGAAAATATCTTAGGACGGTGGGAGGAAACTGGTAGGAGAAAGGGTAAAGCGGTGGGTCGAGCGGCCCAGAAAATCTATGTTTGAGGCTCAAGTTGAGTCCACAAGCAGAATTCCGGGTAACCCTAGTTCCCACCCAAAAATCGGGAGATTTGGGATCAATCGGCAGAATCTACCTGCTGTGAGGGCATGTTCTTTTGAGAGCAAACTTTTGCCAAAGTTCGACGTTTGAGAGTGGTTATACAGAGGTATTTACGGTTCAAAAAAAACATAAGCGTGACGGTGCAAAGCGGTCTATGTCCCACCACCCCAGCCGCTCCACTCTCCACTCGTAGCCTGCAAGACGCAGCAAATGAAGCGCGACTCGCTCCTTCTGAGTTTTCTTATTTAGACAGCCATGAGACAAAATCAGTGGATTCTACGGCTTGTTACTTAGGTGCGGCGATGCTTTCCGCGGAGGTTGTATTTCGTCGGGAATCCGAGGCCGCCACTATCGCGCGTCGCGGCTAGTTAGCTGGCAGCGCTAGTTTCTTTACTTTTCCCCGCAGGCCTCCGCGAAGCTTAGTAGTCATTCTGTCACACCGTGCGGCGGGAGAGTGAGACGCGGGACGAAGGGCTGACATGTGACTGAATCGACAGTACTTAAACGAAAAAAAGAGAGCAGGCGCGTTGCGGTTCGGGTGTAGTGTGGTGGGGGGATGGCAGCGACGCGCACCGGCGTATATGTGGACGACTTCCTGACAGGTGAGGCGAGACAAGAGGATGTGATTCCAGCGGATGTGATTGAGCGGATGTGATTGCACATGAGTCAACCTGGAATGGATGGACTCTGGGAGGATTTGACCGCAGGCAATGCGATTCTAGGGGATGTAATGTTAGAAGAAACGGTTTTACAAGGAAGTGATTCTATGTTAGGTGAACCTATAAAAGCGAGATTATAACATGTGGCCAGCCTCATTATCGCCAGCCTTATTTTTCTGTTCGCGCATGCCGTTGGTTTTCCACACACATGCTCTTTGCGCCAGGCTCTGCCGTTCTGTTTCACTCCTCTTCACCCTCCCCTCTACCAATCCCTCCCCAGATTCTTCTCGAGCTGCCCTCTCTTCCACTCGCAGAGGTCTCATTCCTTCTCTGTATCTCTCTCTTACACACCTATCCCCCACCCTACAGAGGTGTCATCACTGCCCCATGAGCTGCAGCGCATGCTCTCTCTCATGAGAGAGTTGGACGGCCGATGCCAGGGTAGGTGCTAACCTGCATCGTTGTTGCCAAGGGGTGTGTATTTGGCAATACTGGGTGCGCTTCTTGTTCAAATGTCTTATTTTCGCTCTCTCTCGCCTACTCTATTTCTCCCCTTCCACTCCCTCGCTCATCCACTCACCCCCACTCGCATCCACTCACCAACTCACCTGTTCCCCTTCCAATCCGTGAATGATAAATCCTGAATCTCTCCCTCCCTCCCTCCCTCCCTCCCTCCCTCCCTCCCTCCCTCCCTCCCTCCCTCCCTCCCTCCCTCCCTCCCTCCCTCCCTCCCTCCCCTCCACTCCCTCCCTCCCTCGTTCGACTCTCCCTACCCGCAGCGCTGCGCATGGAGATTCAGAGAGACATTCGGGCGGGGCTGACAGCCATAGAGGAGAGGGAGGCAGTCCTCAGAGCAGGTGCTGGTGCTCAAGATGGGCATGGACATGAAGGTCTGGATGGTCATGCAGATGCTGGTGGTGATAGGGATGGGAATGGTGATGGTGACGGGCAATGGGGAGGGGAAGGGGACGAGGACGATGCTGCTAGTGACAGCGATGCTGCTGAGGATGCTGGTAATGGTGACAACGAGAGTGATGGGGCTGTTGTGACCCCTGCTGCCCTCTCTCCTGCCACGGGTGCTCTGGATGAGGTGCCGGGTGGTGAGCAAGCAGGGGCGAAAGCAGAGGAGGGGAAGCGGGGGATGTGGGATGACGCTGGTGGATGAAGACTGAGGCTGGGGAGAAGAGTTTGAAGCAAGGAAGCAGCACAGCACAGGTGGCGAACGCGTCGTCTCTTCCACCGAATGGGTTACTGGCAGGGAAGGCTGACAATGAGGCAGGAGGAGGGGAGAAGCGACCGAGGGGGAGGCCGAGGAAGAGAGGGAGAGGGGAGAGGGAGGGCGTGGGGGGGGAGGAATGGGTGGGTGGTACGGTGAAGGTGGAGGAGGAGGTGGAGGAGGGTGGGGGGCGGAAGAGCATTGGGAAGAAAAGGCCGCGCGCACAGCAACACCAAGTGGGGCAGCAGCAGCAGCAGCAGCAGCAGGTGCTCCAGCAGGAGGCGGAAAGCAAGGATGAGTGTGCGGTGGTAAAGGCAGAGCTTCCCATTGAGGGAAGGTTGGTGGTTGAGACTCCTGCTTCTGCTGCTCCAAGCATGGCGCGAGGCAGCAGCCCACACAATGGAGGAGGGGAGACAGACAGGGCGGCAAGGATGAGAGCGAGTATGGCAGGGGCAGGACTGGAGGAGGAGGGGAGGGGGAGGGATGGACGGGATGATGTCAGCGGTGACATCAGCGATGAGAGGGCTGCTGCTTTGCAGAGGCTGAGGGAGGAAATTTCCGAGAAGCAGGGGAAGATGCGGGCGCTGTGTGATGAGAAGGTCATTCTGGCACAGCAAGTGAGCGCACTGGTGAGCGTGGGGGGTAGGGTTCAGGTTTAAGGTTTGCAAGTGAGCGCTCTGTTGAGTGGTTGGGCATGGGCCAGTGAATGGTTGGTCAGGTCAGGGCATGGTGAGTGTGCGTGTGCAGGCATGGGTGGGTCAAACAGTAGGGTGTGGTGTTAGTCATGAGTCAGTGAGTAGAGGGGCATAGTCCGTCTCATGTGGTGCATGAGACCATGATTGCTTAGGTGCCTCAAAACGGAGACGACTTTAGAGGCGCCGCAAAAAGTGTCATGGGTCAGTGAGTAGAGGGGCATTGCCCCTTTCAAATGGTGCATGCCAGCATTTTTTTGAGGCGCCTCAAAACTGAGACGATTTTTTAGGCGCCTCAAAAATCTTCATGGGTCGTCAGTGCCTCAGTGAGTAGCTAGCGGGGCGTGGTCCTTTTCATATGGTGCACCACATGGCACATAGACCATGACATCACCACATGGTCATGACAATCCCCGCACTTGCCTGACCCTCTGTGGTTTCCTTCCTCTCCATTGGCCCCCAAACCTCTCCTTTTCCTCCAAGCTCGAGAATTACCCCAGCTACAGCGCGTGCACTCTTCTGTTTCCTTCCGCTCCCCTCTGGTTTCAGGGCAGTCAGCAGCAGCAGTTTCCTACTTTCACCCCTTCCTTTCCACTCACCCGCTCCCCTTCAACCTCACCTCAAGAGTCACCCTTGCACACTTTACGAGAAATTGCACCACTTTCGCTTCCCTCTGTGTTTTGATCCATTCCCCCCCTCCATTCACCCCAGCTCAGTTTGAACCAGGAGCTGCAGCACTTGCCTGTCCCTCTGTGTTCCCGTGTCTATCCGTTTGCATCCCCATTTCTCCATTCCTCTCCTTCGCTTTTCCACCCCAGCTGGAGAGCACCTGCGCAGTTTGAACCAGGAGCTGCAGCACTTTTCGGAGGACCTCAAGCAAGGTGAGTGAGGACTTCACGTGCAGCAACTGCTGCTTGAAACACATTAACAATCATAGGGTGTTTGTTTGTTTGTAAATCCTTGTGAAAACCTCTTTTTTTTTTTTTTTTTGAAATCCAGTTTCTTCAGTTCAGACCCCATTGTCTGTTGCATGCGGTTATGTTGGAATGTTTAGAAGCCTCTGCTCGTCCCCTTGCCTCTTGTCCCACCAAACCCTTTCATCCAACAGACGGACGCTTCATGGTGGATGATCCCTTCACACCCGTTCCTGACCGTCGGATCCTCTCCTCCTCCACCTCCACCACACCCCTCCGCACCCCTTCTCCCTCCCCCAACCTCCCTTCCCCCTACGTCACCCCCCGTCGCACCCCTGCTGCCCCAGCTGCTTCCCCAGCAGCAGGGGTGGGAGGGGCGCGGGGGTGGGGGGAACCGAAGGGGGAAGGGCGGGGGTTGAGTGCAGTGGCTGTGCTGGCATCTGGCAGTGGTGGGGAGGGGGGGGGAGGTGGCGGAGGGGGGGTGTGGGAAGCAAAGGGGGAAGCGTGGCAAGGAAACCAGGAGAGGGAGAGCGAGAGAGGGGCAGGGAGGGAAGCAGGGAGGGAAACAGGGAGGGAAGCAGGGAGGGAGGCAGGGAGGGATGCAGGGAGGGAGAGGGAGTGGGAGAGGGGAGGAAGGGGTGCTGCCCTCATGCCGCCTCCTGCTGCCCCTCCCGCTCTCGAGAAAGAAGGGAGGGGTGAGCAGGGGCGTGCCGGTGGGGGCAGGTGGCGAGAGGAGGGAGGTGCCCGAGGGGGGGGCAGGAGAGCAGGTGTATGAGCCAACGTACTGCATATGCGGGCAGGTGTGCTTTCTTGTTCCCTTTCCGTCCCTTGTCGCCTGTTTCTGTATTCATATCAAACTCTTCAAGTTCCTCCTACTGCCTTTTATCCGTTTGAACTTCCATTCATATGGGGGCAGGTGTGCTTTCTTCATTTGTTCCTCTTTATCCGTTTTCAACTTCCTTTGAAACCCCCGGTTTCAGTTATGGCCGATTCCTTCTCACAGTACCACCTTTTTCAACACTTCTACGTTTCTATTCCACTTACTGCCTATCCACCCACACTAATGGTGCCATTGCCAGGTGTCTTTTGGAGACATGATCGCATGCGATAATGCAAATGTGAGTTGCATCTGTGATTTTTATCGCAGGAACATGCATGATGTGCATTTTTTGGAATGCATGGGGATTGGATTGTGAACATTCACATGCCCTTTTTTTTTTGCTGTTGGTGTGATTGTGAATGTGGATACGCATGTGCAGTGCATGTACATGTGCATGTGCATGTGCATGTGCATGTGAATGTGCAAGGGAATACGCAAGTGAATATTTTTCATACATGTTCAGGTCAGTGCGAGGCAGGCGAGTAGTTTCACTACGAACAAGCGTGTGGGGGAATTGGGAAAATAACGCCAACCTAACTCAACCTCCCCCTTCTCTTTCCACCTTTCCCCCCCACTCCTATCTGCAGTGTGAGGGAGGCGAGTGGTTCCACTACGAGTGTGTGGGACTCAGCATCGCCATGCCCCGGATCCACGACAAGTGGTTCTGCCCTCACTGCACCTCCCTACACAAGAAAGGCATGCTGCACTTGCCACCTTAGATCTTGCACCGGACGAAAGATGATAGTGGTTATTTTTAGGTTACTGTTTGTATGGCTTGGAATTTCTACGCTTCGTTTTAGTCTCTGAGTGTCCTCTAAAGTAGACAACTCTCAGAGTTACGCAGGTGGAAAAGGTGTGACTAGAATGTGTTGGGGTACAAAAAATACCTAACCCTTACAACTGTACCCCACATATTGTCAAACTAAATGTTTATTGTAAGTTAGGCTGTATTGGGGCTAGCTTTAGGGGGTACAGAATTTCTCTCGACATTCTAGCCTTGTACCCCCATCTTGACCTAGTCTACTCATTCTTGCCTAGTATTCTTAACATGGTGACTAGAGCAATAGGTCCTTAGGACCTGAGATTCGGGCCCACCATTGTCTGCCCCTACAGCCTTACCTGCCTTGCCTGCTGCCCGCGCGCGCCTCGGTTGCGCGCGCCCCTTAAAATTCTTTTTTTTTTAGCGCGCCCCACTGCTGCACCTCGCGAGCGGCCCGCTGCAGCTTAGTGCGTCGCGCTGCCCGCCTCAGCCGCCCGTTGCCTGCAGCCGCGCGCAGCCCGCAGCCTGCCGCGCGACGCCGCGCACAGCCTGAAGCCGCGCGCAGCCCGTTGCCACGCGCGGCCCGCCGCCCGCCGCTGCGCGCAGCCTGCAGCCGCACGCAGCACGTCGCCCCGAGCAGCCAGCAGCCGCGCGCAGCTTGCAGCCCCGCGCAGCCTGTCGCTGCTGCACTCTGCCCTGTTTGCACGCTGCCGCCTCGCCCTGCGCACTTGCTGCCCTGCCTTGCGCCTGCCTTGTCTTGCACCTTCCTGCCTTGCACCTGCCAGCCTGCCTGCCTGCCTACTGGCCTGCCTGCCTGCCTTGCGCCTGGCTTGCCTTGCACCTTCCTGCCTTGCACCTGCCAGCCTGCCTGCCTGCCTACAGGCCTGCCTGCCTGCCTTGAGTCTTGCGGCCTGCCTGCCTGCCTTGCGACTGCCTTGCCTTGCACCTTCCTGCCTTGCACCTGCCGGCCTGCCTTCCTGCCTACTGGCTTGCCTGCCTGCCTGCTGGCTTGCCTGCCTGCCTGCTGGCCTACCTGCCTGCCTTGCGCCTTGCATCCATTGCACCATCCTGACTTGTGAGCCTGATAGCTGCTGTAGTCTACTGCGTTTGCCAACGCTGCTGTAATGGTGACGCTTAACGTTCTCGTGTTTGAGCCTGACGGTCGCCCGATAGAATTTGCCACTTGGCTTGACGACCTGCAGCTATTTCTTATGACGGATGCCAAAGACGGCGTTTCTCTGTTCGATCACGCGTCAGGCACTACCGCTGCCCCTACTGCCACTGATCCTGTTCTTGACCGCTCATAGTGGCAGACTCGCGATGCTGCTGCGCGCCTCGCTATCCGTAACCACCTGCCGATCACTGAGCGCACGCATTTTAGTCAGCACAAGACTGCTAAGGCGCTGTATGACGCTGTAGTTGTGCGCTATTCCTCCCCAGCCACTGCAGCCGTAGGACGCCTCATCCTGCCCTACCTGTTCCCCGACCTGTCCTCGTTTTCCACCGCTGAGGACCTCATCTCTCACCTCCGCGCTAGTGATGCCCGCTTTCGTGCCGCTCTTACCGACGAGTTCCTAGCCACGAACACCCCACCGCTGTACTTTACCCTCGACATCCTCGTCACTCGCCTCCCTGACACTCTTAGCTCGGTCAGGGACCATTTCCTCGCCAAGGACCCTACCACTATCACGCTAGCCGACTTCGAGCAGCAGCTCCTAGCAGCAGAGAAGAACATCCTCGCTGTAGGTGCTGCCCGTGGCACTCCACGCACTCCCCTCTTTGAGGGGTGCTCCCCCTCCCCTCTTGCCCCCTCCTACGCCTCAGCTGCTGCTGCAGCCGACCTCCTCGGTGCTGAGAAGGTTGCAGCGACTTCCGCTCCTAGTGGGAAGCGCGGCGGTGGCAGGGGCGGCAAGGGTGGCAGGGGTGGTGGCGGTGGCGGTGGCGGGAGCGGTGGTGGAGGCAGTGGGGGTGGTGGCGGTGGTGGGGGTGGTCGTGGGGGTGGAGGAGGTGGGTGGGGCGGTGGTGGAACCAACCATAAGGGGAGTTCCAGTGGTGGCCAGCAGCAGCAGCAGCGCCAGACCCCTTCTTCTCAGCAGCTCCATGACTGGTATGCCGGGCGTGGGGCGTCTGGGGGTCCTGGCCGCTGCCCCTATGTCATTCTCACTGGTCCCCGTAAGGGTCGCCCATTCAACGGCTTTCACACTGAGTACCGCTGCTTCGCTTGGCTCAGCAACGCCTGGCGCGCCAAGTTTCCTGATGCTGCTGAATTCCACAACTGGGCAGATCTGCTTAGACGTGATGTACCTATCTTTGATCTTGATTATGATGTAATCCTTGCTGCCATGTATGCATTGACTGTTAGTGCTGAGGGTGACTGTTACTTGTGTGTGCTGCCTGACCCCGGTATAGACCCAGGTATAGCGCCTGCAGCCCTAGGTGCTAGTGAGTTTGCTCTCCCTGGTACTGCGTCCGCTCAGGCCTTGCGTCTGCTCAGGCCTTGCACACTTTTACACTTGACTCTGGTGCTTCCCGTTGTTTCTTTCGTGACGGCACCACAGTCACTCCCCTTCGTCGTCCTGTCCCTGTCTCACTGGCTGACCCCTCTGGGGGCCCGGTGCTTGCACGGTCCACCACTGTGCTTCCGTGTCCGGCGGTCCCGTCTAGTGAGCTGTCAGGTCTCCACCTCCCCTCGTTCTCTACGAACCTGGTGAGCAACGCCGTCCTTCAGGATCACTGGGTTGACACCTTTACTCCTGGAGGATAGCGTGTGGCGATCTGCACGTGCTCCCGGACAGGCCGCCACCTGGCCACGTTCACACGTGCGCCTGAGTCCAGTCTGTACACCCTCACCACTGCTTCGCGCTACACCCCTTTGTCTCCCCAGCTGTACGCGTCTGCTCAGGTAGCTACCCAGTGTGAGTGTCGCCTGCTGTCGCACGACACTCTCCTGTGGCACCACCGCCTTGGTCACCCCTCCCTGCCTCGCCTTCGGAGCATGCACTCTCGCTTCCTGGTCTCTGGCCTTCCCAGGTCTCTGCCTGCCCTCCCTCCCTCGCCTGCGCCACCCTGCATTCCTTGTGTCGCGCGGCGGCAGCGCACCGCTCCTCACTCCTCCTCGTTCCCTCCCACAGAGACTCCGCTGCAGACTCTCCACCTGGACGTGTGGGGCCCAGCCCGCGTCCGTGGACAGGGCCACGAGCGGTACTTCCTGCTGGTCGTCGACGGCTACACGCGTTACACCACGGTCTTCCCCTTGCAGCGCAAGGGGGACGTCCCTGATGTTTTGATCCCCTGGATCCGCGCTGTTCGTCTCCAGCTCTGCGAGCGGTTCCACTCGAACTTTCCTGTCCTTCGTCTGCACTCTGACAGAGGTGGTGAGTTCTCCTCAGACCTCTTCGCAGCCTACTGTGCGGAGCACGGCATCCGCCAGACGTTCACGCTTCCAGCCACTCCGCAGCAGAATGGGGTTGCTGAGCGCCGCATTGGCTTAGTCATGGAGGTCGCTCGTACCTCCATGATCCATGCGGTTGCCCCCCATTTTCTGTGGCCGTTTGCGGTCAGGTACGCCGCACGTCAGCTCAACCTCTGGCTCCGTGTCTCAGTACCGGAGACGTCGCCCACACTGCGTTGGACGGGGGAGGTTGGCGATGCGTCGCGTTTCCGCGTCTGGGGTGCCCGTGCCTTTGTTCGTGATACCACTGCGGACAAGCTCTCCCCTCGCGCCATTCCCTGCGTCTTCCTTGGCTCTGTCCCTGACGCGCCTGGCTGGCAGTTTTACGACCCAGCCACGCGCCGTGTCTTTGCGTCTCAGGACGTCACCTTTGACGAGTCCGTCCCCTTTTACCGTCTCTTTCCCTACCGCACTGCCCCTCGCCCCCCCCCCCCCCGCTCTTTCTCGCTCCAGGTGCTCCCCAGGTAGACCCCCTCCCCGCGCCAGGTCCTGCTCCTTCAGGTGTTTCTCAGGTAGACCCTCACGTGCCTGCGCCTGTGGAGGTCACTGGTGACTGAGGTCCTGTTGGGGGTAGTCCTGCTCGAGGTGCTGTGTCTGGGGGTGCTGAGCCTGGGGGTGCGGAGCCTGAGCCTGAGGAGCCTGGGGGTGCTGAGACTGGGGGTGCTGAGCCTGGGGGTGCGGAGCCTGCGTGTGAGGAGCCTAGGGGTGCGGAGTCTGGGGGTGCTGAGCCTGCGTGTGCGGAGCCTGGGGGTGCTGAGTCTGGGGGTGCTGAGACTGCTGCTCCGCGGTCTCCTTGGAGTACCCATCTTCGTGCGCGTGTACCTCTCACCCCAGAGCAGCTGCACGACTGGTACGCTCGCCGTCAAGGTCACGCTTCTGGAGCTCGGGGCTCTGCTGCTGGAGGTACTTCTACTGCCGTTACTGGAGCTGGGAGTGGTGCTGGTCTCGGAGGTGCTCGTACTGGAGGTACTGGAGCTGCTGGGGCTGGAGGTGCTGCTGAGCCTGAGGGTACTCCTGGTGGAGACCCTAGGTCTGGGGGTGCTGCTGCTGGAGGCACTGAGGCTGGTGACCCTGGGACTGGAGGTGCTGGTTCTGGGGGTGCTTCTACTGAGGTTGCTGGAGCTGCTGAGGGTACTGGAGCTGCTGAGGGTGCTGGAGCTACTGAGGGTGCTGGAGTTGCTGAGGGTGCTGGAGCTGCTGAGGGTGCTGGAGCTGCTAGAGGTACTGGAGCTGCTAGGGGGGCTGGAGCTACTGAGGGTGTTGGAGACGCTCGTGCTGGTGGTGCTGCACAGCCACGCCTGTTCTTTGCTCCGCCTTCTCTGTCGTCTCTACCACAGCCTGCCTCCGTGCTTCGCCAGGTTCTTAGCCTCCCGTCGTCTACTGGTCTTTCGTTTCAGCCTGGCTCACCCCTGCTTGCTCCTTCTCCTTACACTGAGCAGTCAGGAGGTCTTGCTGAGCGTTGAGAGCCTACGTCGCGTCCTGTCTCGCCTGTCCGTTCAGGTCGTCGT